TCAACTGGCAGTCACCAGTCGCCTTGATATCTTGAATTAAGCCTTCCATGACTGTCCCAGTACGCCCATGAATGGGCGTGCTGCTTTCCACTTATTCAGGGGGTGTTGTTCACGATCACGCTGCTCTCGTTGACGCTGGCGACGAGCCTTGGCTCGTTTTTTCCGCTGTTTGTGGGCTTCGACCTCTTCGGGGGACTTCCCGGTGAGTAGTCCGTATAGTCGATCCATCGTCGTTTCGAGTAGGTATGCCTGGTTTATACTGGAGATATCTGCTTGAGTCGTCGATAATCAGGGGTCAATAGTTAAATAACGGCCCCTTCGGCCCTACGGGTCCCCGGCACTCCGAACCATCGCAAGCGCTATTATTCCTGCCCTAGTACTGAGCCTCAACAAGTCATTGGCCATGGATTGGGTGAGAGAGAATCAGCCAATCCGCGCAAACTGCACTTGTGGTGCGCCGTAGAGTTTGTGGTGAGAGCGGAACTCCGCCACGACTCCGCCAACCCACTATGCCCGACGCCAGCTATCTTGTTCCTGAGAGTCTCCTATCCAGCCTTGTGAGTCCGACTAATCCACCATGTTCTGCATGTAACTCGCCCAATTGAAACGAAACAATCCTGCTCGTCCCGTCCCGTTTGTTTCTTGGACCACTCAATCCCCGCCCTTTAGCTCGATACACCATGTCGCACCCCCCACGACATTCCTCCATCGTTTCTATGAGCAGCAGTGTGCAGAGTGCTGCAACTGTTACTCCAACCGAGAAGCAGCTCCCTCAGCAAACACAGATCCAAACCCCGACACAGACCACTCCGGGACTTCGGGTCCCATCAAACCGTAAAACCATCTACGATAGGCACCTAAACCGCAGTCGGAATGCGGAATCCAGCCGGGCGAGCTTCGCCTTTCTATTTGGAGAGATGGTTACGTACGCCCAGAGGAGGGTAACTGGTATACAAGACCTCGAGAGACGGTGAGCATCCTATATCTATCTACTTAGCACAGAGCTAATGTCAACACCAGATTAAATGAACAGGGATACCCCCTCGGTCTCCGTCTACTCGATCTCCTCTTCTACCGAACAATGTCTAGCTCTTCATCATCTTCTCTTTCAAGCTCCTCAACCTCAGCATCACCACCTAATAGACCACTCCGAGTCCTGCCCCTATTACACCTTATCCACGGACCGCTCTGGCGACTCCTTTTCAACCGCCCCGCGGATGCTCTTGAACACTCTGTGTCACCGGACACGCCGAACGAATATATGATTACGGATAATGACCCACTCGTCAACACATACATCAGTGTTCCCAAGGAGATGAACCAACTTAACTGCGCGGCCTTTGTGGCTGGTATAATCGAGGGAGTGTGTGATGGGTGTGGCTTCGAGGCCAAAGTCACAGCCCATAACCAGCCTACAGAGTTGTGGCCCAGTCGAACTATTTTCCTCTTGCGGTTCGGCGAGAGTGTCATGGAGAGGGAGAAAGTGCTGGAACGGGCAGGTGTCAAATAAGCAACATAAGTGAAATACTGTGGGCTGAAGTGAAGTGGCTACGGGATGCCTGACACGGGTATCGCGTGAAAGGAGTTTCACCAACATATTCCGTATGAGGCCGAGGGCTTATATGGCCGTGATCGGTATTGATCTGTCGAAGGCGCGGTTGGGCCGACATACACCTCTTTCACAGCCAGATATACAGTCCCTATACACGGGAATGGAGGGTAAAGGAAAAGGGCTGCTACCAGACGCTTTAATGCCCGTGGGCGAACTCGATCCACCACACTTTATAAGCAGAAGATACCCAGAAGCCTTCAGGGCTTCTCTCATTTTCGGGGTGGAAATATGAGTGAGCCTTATTGAAAAAAAAAAAACACCTTTCAGATTTCATGCATCATAACCGAAGCTGCCTATGCTTTAATGTACATGTCAACGCCATAGAAATTACATATGAATGAGTTAAGAAGCGCTCCTCATTCGTCTCCGTTTGTCACGGTCCTCGTAAGGTGAAGGGCTCCGCTTCCTGCGACTGCTCGTCTCAGGGCCATGCCTTTCTGAAGAGTGGTCCCGGTCCCGTCTTGGGGATCGTGATCGAGACCTTGACCTGCGCCTCTCACGCATCGCAGAAGCATTTGCACCCGTAGGACCCTTAGGACGGTCATCTCCACGGTCAGGTAGGAATCGCTCATCCGTGATTCCAATGGGGGCATCTTGACGACGTCTGTTACTGAAGCCATCTCCAAAGCGCCCAGTATCCTCGGATCGAAGATCCTTGTACCGCGTTCGACCCTTCTTTCCTAGCTTTGTCATATCACGGATTTGCATGTATTGCGGCAGCGTTTCCCGAGAAACATCGTCGACGAACCGAGCACCCATAGCGTTTCTCTGGTCGAGACCCTCTTTTTCCAGTTCTGGGCGGAAGAACGCACCCTTGTGGAAGTATCTCTGCATGTACCCGGTCTGGCCACGAGTCGCATCGCGCTCCTCTTTCTGCTTCGCGATGAATTCCTGGTCCTCCCGTTCACGCTCTTCGGCCGTTAGGTTCCTGCGGCGTTCAATCTCCTCGCGTTCCTTTTCTGCTTCCTCAATCGCCTCGCGCTCGCGCTTAATGCGTTTGAGCTCGCGGAGCTTCCAAGCTGCGTATTCTGCCTCTGCATCCTTTCCGTCTGTGTCGTCAATACCAGCTTCCTCGTTTGCCAGTGCCTCGTCATCATCCCAAGCCCTGTTTGCGGAGCTGCGTGCGATGGCGTCTTTCTCAATCTGCTCGCGAACCAGCGCGTCTGCCTTCTCTTGTCGTTGGGTTGCCCGTGCCTCTGCTTCCGCTATGGAATCAGCGCCTGTGCCAAGACCACCTTGTGATTCTGCTGGGCCAGTGCCTCGTTTGTCTTTTTTGATGAATGTAGGTCTTAGAAGAACGCGCCGGGGGGCTTCCTCTTCTGAGCTACTTTCTTCTTCTGAGCTTTCCTCCTCTTCTGATTCCGATTCCTCTTCTTCTTCCTTCTGCGGCTTTGAAACCTGTCTTACAGGTTCAGCTGATGGAACTGACACGCCTCCCTTCGATTCCTCCTCCTCCTCTTCCTCTTCTTCTTCCTCCGTCACAAACCCCTCCTCATCATCTTCCTCTTGTTCAATCTTAACATCTTTAACCCCCTTCGTCACAGCCTTAGCCCCAGGAAACGAAGTCGCCTTCGGCGCAGTTTTCTGCTTCCGTTTTTGCTCTTCTAATTTCTTCCGCTCCTGTTCGCGCAGCTCCTCTTCGTTGTCCTCTTCTTCCTCTTCCGAAGATGACGGTTCCTCGGCGACGGCCTTTCCGGGTCGGTATCGGCCAGGCCTGACAGGATTCGCAGTCATGCCGCGATGCGAAGTCGGGAATGGGGGCGGCATTGTAGCAATATTTTACTTCGCTTTCGCGTTCGGGCTCGAAAGGCGAATAGGTAGGATGCGAGGGTATGGAGGACGAGAAACAGAGATTATCAGAGAAACCAACTCGACATGAATGCAAAATATTATTGCCGATATAAATAGTAAATAGGAAAAGTGATGGTATGGTCAAACGCTGGGCTGCAGCGCATCGATTGTTCAAAAACTTGAAGCTATCAGCTAGCTATCTCAAATCTCGAAATCGATAACTCCGTCAATGTCTTGGCAAGCTTAACTGGATCACGTGTCTTCGTGTCAGTCTCACGCGTTTCAATTTCCGATCCATCCCCCGCCGATATACAGCTCACAATCTCAACCTCAACCGCAATACACCACCACCATCACCCTCCTTTTAACAGAACCCGACGCCAAACAATACCACCGACTACCTCGCATCTAAATCTAAGATAATAATACAAAATGTCTCTCCAAACTCCCCGCATCCTCCCGTCGCACCTCCACGCCTTCAACCCCGCCACCTCTACCTCGCGCTCCGCACCGCCAGTGCGCCTCCTTGGAACAGTGACTTCTCTCTGCGGCGACACAGCAACAATCACCTGCGGGTCTCACGGCGAAGTCACGCTTATCCTGAAGCCCGATTCACATTTGCAGATGGGGAAGCTTGTTGAGGTTGTTGGGAAGGTTGCGGAGATGGAGGGTGGTCAGGTATGTCCAGCGCAGCTACATCTATAGTTGGGCTGGTTTTAGTTGCTAATGGGTGTATGATAATAGGGTCTTGGGATTCGGGTTCTTGCAACGACGGATTGGGGGAATCCTGCCTCTTGTGGTATGTTTATTCCCGCGGGATCCTAAGAACTGTTGTTTTTCTTTTCCGTACCTACCATGGTTGTTTTTCTTGTTTTTGTTTATGAGCGGATCATTAACTAACATATTTTCCAAACATTAGACTACAAAATCTATGAGAAAGTTGTCGATGTGACACATAAGCTGAAGCCTATCTTTTACGATTCGGCTGAATAGATCTAATCTTTCTAGCTTTCTGGAGATTTAATGGCCTGTTAAAGCACAAAAGCTACTTACATAGTATGCGACAAATGAACTCTGCCTGCTACCTGCATGACATTACGTAGCAGCGTTCATTTGTTGCCATTTCATATACCCTAGTTATGGACGGAAAGCAGGATTTGATGGTGTGGATCATATATGCTTTGGAGTGATATAGGCAGAAGTGAATTTAATTTAACATTGACTGTTTGGCCGGAAAAAACTTCATCGTATTTGTTTCCCGTATTACATACAACAAGTGCAAAATTCCAGTCTTATACGGCCATTAGTAGTGGTTAAGAATAAACATAAATCTGACGTGGTAATGTATTTGGTAGTGTATACAGCTAATCTGCATCTGTACTATTTGCTTCGGGAAAGGCGTACAAAGCGTACCCCAACTTTTCCGAGGTATAATGTGAAATAAAAGCGAATGCTGCCGTCACCCATAAATATCACGAAGCTCTACGCTTTTCGTGGTATGATGCGAGAAGATTCCCCAAACGCCTTCGCTGGAAATATGACGGAATAAAAAGAAAAACAAAGTAAACCAACTATAAGAAACTCGTAAAACATGATCCTAAACTTGTTCCGAATTGGGGGAGGTTTGGTTTGCCGGCGTATCATTTTTGTCGTCAACGATCATCCTTTCAGCCTGAAGAGCATCGGAGCTAAAGAAACCCGAGTCAACGCCGCCTGGCTCGGAATATTCAAACATGCCCTTCTGAAGATCGGGATCGGACAGGAGCGCATTTATAATGTCCGTCGAATTTTCGTTATTCTGATTTCCATCTGATCTGGATGGGGAATTGCAGTCTGACGGGAGCCAATCATTCCAGTTGTTATGCGTCGAGTTCCTAGAGTCAAGCCCAAATAATGAGTCTGTGTGGAGGGCAGCATCATCCGAGAAAATATCAACAATCATGTCGTCCATTCCTTGGAAGGCCGCTGTCCCAAAGATATCATCAGACAAATCGGGAAGGTCGGGGAAATTGGAACGAGAGCGCCCAGGTGTTCGACTCTGGCGAGACGCAGATCCCGGGCTGCTCTGAACACGTTGGAGCCGACGTGTAGAGTGGCGAGTTGGGGTGGTATCCGGAGCCCCGTCTCTTCGAGACTTGGCAGCCGGTGAGATAGACGGAAGCGAGTGCCGCTTGTCCCCAACATTCAGGCGTTGGTTTCGACGCTTGGGGGTAGGGCTGACACACATGTCCAGTTCGAACGAGGGACTCTCGAAAAGCCGGTCCAGACCAGTTGCAGCCTGGTTTTCTTTCTCGCCGGATTCTTTATTTGATTCCTGGGAGTTGGAGATTCGCGAGCTTCGCTTAGGGCTGTTTAATACTGACTGGCCTAATGCTTTCAAAGGACCCCCCTCGTTCTGTGAATTAGGAAACAAGACTCTCCTCACTGACTTGGGTGTAAGGTTGTTCTCACCCGGGGCTGAAGCATTGCGAACTGCAAGATTTCTAGCCGGGCTAGATTGAATAGCCCGTTGAAGCGCTTCTGCTGCATCTTTCTCTTGCCAGCGGCTTCCTGCCATATCAGATGACTTCCGGGGCTCCGCGCTATTTGCGCGACGGCGCTTTGCTGGTCGCTCTTGAGCGTCATCATTCTTGTCCTGATCGTCTTCGCCGGTCTTGTTGGCGTCGTTGTCGGGATAGGGGGTGGCGTCATCGTCAGCTGCTGGTGACGATGCGTCTGAAATTCCAGGTGATGATGCGTCCGGTTTGGACGACTCACTTCGGTTGCGGTTGTCGGTCGAGAGTGGGCCACCTCCCCTCCGGTTTCTCGGGGGGCGCTTCTTCTTGTTATAACTAGTTTTGTTCCATTTGTGTTCAGGGCGCATAAACCTAAACTTATGAAGCCAAAGACCACAAGCTTTGGGAAAGTCAGTGTCTGGTTATGAATATTCATCGTGGGGGGTTGTCACTTACGGTTGCAGAGCAAGACTTGAGCAAAATCCTTGTCTGCGTCCACCAGGCTTTTCTTGTAGATCTTGAACTTGGTGACTTTTTCCTGTTCATCTTTATCGACTGTTCGCCAGAAAAACACCAGTGGGTCCTTGGCAAGTTCATTTGCTTCATCTTCGCTGCCCTTGATTTCCTTGGAGTGCGCTCTACGCCAAGTAGGTGTCTCGATGGCGCCACAGTTCTCACAGTATGGCGGAACTTGTCCGTCCCGGATACACTTCTCGAGACGTGCCTGAACTTGCTTAACCTGCTTCATCCGTCTGGCTCCTGCCCCGCTGCGAAGCTTGCCATCTTCGCTCGTGAGTTGCGGACCTGGAGTCTCAGCGGTGCCAATATCGCTGGAGGGTGCTGGCCATTGTCCAGCGATTGGGTCGCTGGCGGGAATTGCGCTAAGAAGTTGCTCCAGTTCACTCTGGGAGATGGGAGCCGGAGCTAGTGGCTTGTGTGTTTGTCGCACGCTAGCGCGCGAAGAAGGTCGTGAAGAGGGCCGTGAGGCTATTTGAGAAGTGCGAGGAGGCGCAGCCGTAACTTCCGTGGCCTGCTGCTGTTGTTTCTGTTGCTCAGCGTGCACCCCACTTACAGGAAGAATCTCAGCTTGGTTCTGTAGCTGAGACTGCCGGTCTGGAACCCCCTCGCTGGCAGAAACATTCGTGGGTTGGGTATCGGGTATTTCAATGGCATTGGCAGGGGAGCTGGCTTGAGCGGCCGAGCGAACAGTTCGCTTTGATCGAGTCGTGTTTTTCGATGCTGGCCTTGCACTGCCGTCAAGTGGAGGGCCGAGCTCATCATCCAATAGTTCATCAATACCACCGCTCATGAAACCAGAATCCAGATCAGCGGCCATGGGCGGAAGAACTGGGCTAGACCTAGTGGGAAACCCGTAATCCAAAACCGGTGGAGAAGACGGCATACTGAAGGATGGCTCAAATAGGCCCTGGTACCGGGACTCCTCTGGAGATGTTGCAGTCGGTTCTACCGATGGATGATCATCGCTCATGGGATACGGCGAGGTATATTGAGTGCTGCTCTGGATTGATGATTCTCGAAGAAGGCTTGGAAGAGGGCGTGCACGGCGGGGTAAACTGTTCATGCCGGAAATGGGAGTAGGGGGCCGGACCGGCTCTTCGCCTGAATTCTGAGCTGCAGAAATGAGAGGGTTGATTGGCGTCGGGCGATGGATCCGAACAGAAGCTGCTGTGCTGGCAGCCACTCTCAAAGAGCTTGGCTGCCTTTCGATATTTAGGTCTGCCTTTCCAGGAGCTTCAGCTCGGTACAATTTTGCTCTTTTCCGTGGCTGTTGTTCACCCGATTCGTCGCAGCTGCCATAACCGGACTGTATCGAATCCCTACGACCAGACCTTGCAAATGCATTAAAATCGGCATCACGCATGGAAGCACTAGATGAAGGGCGGATAATATCGCTCTGGCTCCGTTCCAAATGTGATGGTCGTGATGGCAACTGTTCTTGTTGGGGTTGGGGCTGGAACTGACTCCCTGGGGTCTGGACTCTGCTTGCTATGCTGAGATTTGACTGTGCAGGCGATATGGATCGGAAGGGAGGGTTAGTGGGCATCGACACCGCTTCCCTGGGTGTGGAGCCTGCACTGAGAATCTGGTGGAATTTTTCAATTGCAGAATGATCCGCCGGAGATGGTGCTTGGGCTGCGGCCTGGGATGTAGGCGTCATCACGTCAGGGTTTTGCCGTATGAAGTCCGTCCAGGTCTGGGCATCGAACTCGTGCGGAATAACGTTGCTTAGTTCTCGGTATTTCTGCATGCTCTGCAGGTACTCGCTTTGCATTGCCGTCGGTACAGGCACCAAGCGCAGTTTAACCTCCAGCGTTTCCTGAGCACCCTTTGAAAACAAGCCCAGCACGTTCTTGCAAACACGGCCCGTTACCATTGTCATTGACTGGTGTGCCGGTGCATTGGGAGTTGGGGACGATGACGCCAAAACCCACGATAGCATACCCTGTCCGACGAGTGGCGTTTCATATTCGGAATAATCATAAGCGTAGACGGTATAATCCTGGCCCAGCTGGGCGACCAATTCCGGACTAATAAACACACAGTTAGCAGACAGCTCAAGCATCTGCCGAGCTATAACACCCACCTAGCAGAAACAATGGCTTGAATGCAGGTTTTGAGCTCGATCACTCCAATTTGAGTTTTCTCATCCAGGGCGGCGGTTTGTATGTCAAGGAGATGGGGCCATCGGGCCAAGCAATTCGTTTTATTGTCATTATCGAATGTATAGAGTACCTTGACTAGAGATTCCAAGCCCACTGGTTAGCAGGTCCAGCAAATTAACGGTAGAAAGGTCAAACTTACGCCTCATGGGCCGGACGGAAATCCCGTCCTGAGAATCCATCCCACCAGGTTCTAGATACTTTTCATAAGCAATAACCAGGTGTAGGATTAAGCCAATAGATAGAGTGAAAGTTGTTCGTGTGTTAAAGGTTGGGTGGCCGTGGAGAGTTCGGAGCGTGAGAGACACGAGATGGGAAGAATGCGTTCCACAGCAGCCACAATTGAGCGAAAATGGCCGAAGCAAGGTTCAAAGGTTAGAATCCCACAATGTTTTATCGATCGGCAACTCTTGACGAATTTGACGCCCGTCGACCGGGAGTGTGCAACGGTATGCAACGAGGTCGTAGGAGGGAGCTCGGGAATGTAAACGCGGGACGAGGGAGCAGCGAAGGGAGACCGAAGCGGTGAGGAAGCTAGGAGGGAGGGGAGCCGGTCTTTCTTTTCTTCTTCATCCGACACGTCGAGGAGCTGCAGCTCAGGAAGCAGGGACGGGGGAGTGGTTGGGAGAAATGGATGAATGAGGGAAGATTGAAGAGACGCCCTTGCATAAAAGACGTGAAGCTTCCCAGCAGATCGCGACTGGAAGACGCGCCGCCAAACTGAACGCCCGCGATTCGCGAATTACGGGAGGCGGCCCCACACACGCGGTAAGTCACGTGATTTTTAAAAACAAACACGGCAAACTAGGAAGCCGCCAAGCTTTAGCCTGAACGTGGGAGACCTCGCAACTTCCAACGCCAGTTGAAGGTGGTTTGAAGTCGACAAGAGCAATCGGGTTCCATCAACCCTTCTTATACTGCCAGCGACCGACACAGGCCTCCAGCCTTTGAGGCTTACCCCTCCTTTGTATTAACCATGCGATATCAGATGACTCAGACCCCCCGGGTTCCATGAGGCCATACCAACTCCGACTTGCAACCTCATTGCAGTCTCTTCCACCCACCACACCCAGCAGCTGGAGAGCCAACTCGCCTCCTTTCGCATCTAGTCTTGTCTTCCGGTTCTTCCGGTTCTTCCGCTTATCTGGCTTTTATCTGTGCCATCGCCACGCCTTTCCATCCAATACCGCGGCATTCGTGTACGACACTAGTTTCCATCTATATCCATCACCAAGTGCGGGCTCCGTCCCAGAAAATCAATCTCTTCGTGCTCTTCCATCATTTATTCCTGATTTCATCAGTGCGACCGGGCTTTTTATTATCGCAAGACACCCATCTTTACGTCCAGTCATTATTTTGTCTCTCCCCACCCGTTGAGTCGCGAAACACTGATATCCCACATGTCCACTATGAAACCTCTCGTGGAGGGGCACCTTATCTCAAGGTCGACACAAAGGCAGCCATTCTAATTCTCAATACCAACCGCGGTCTCAAGGAAGAGCACACATCAACCGACCCAGTACCCTGAAGTAGTAGGCCAAACGTCTCAACCGTCCAAGCCAGCCGAACATTGCGCCATGTATCTCCTTGGGCAGTTATTGGAGATTGCTTTGCATGGCTGCTCTAGTCACTCATACAGGCTGCCTCGTCTGCCTAAACTTTTACATTCACGTGATGCTACCCATGCTGGCTAACTTTGAAGCTTTTGGACCCAGGCCTAATATGGCAACCGCCTCTACCGTAGTTCCATCATCAACCGTAGTTCTAACTTCCATGTTCCATTAAGATTGAAGGGAAATAAACGGATACTGTATCCCACCAACGCGGATTCGCTTACATCCCGAAATCCTGGGGAATCACCCCAAAACAGCAAACAAAGCCACTTACCTACTTACTTACCTGTTAGGCAGTTTCAAGGTCGAGAAAAGACATGGTTGCTTTCACAAGCTACTTCTTGCTTTCAGTTGATTATATCACTGCAATCCAAACAAATAATGCAACTTGCCTTTAAAGCATCCTTATGCCACCAGGCTTCATCAAATTATAGTAAAATCCATCACGCACTGGTTACATGTTTTTTTATCACTGGCCTGGTATCAGAAATTCAACCTCATGATCCCCTGAGAGAAGGGTTTTGATGGTTCCTATGTGCACACGCACTTACGACATACCTTGGGTGGTTTTGGATACTAGCCAGGGAGCAAGTCTTCTTTAAGACAACAGACAACAGACAACGACACCAATAAATCTCAACGTTATTCATTTTATTTTATTATTAATAAGGAAAGCTTAAACTCTTCCATTGAAATAAAAACCCTTTGGACTATTGACCCCGTCATACCCCCCCTTCACTCTTTGACCCTTAGTCTGATATTCCGCCGTATACTTAGATTCCTTGGAAAATCCAGACCTCGCTCTCTTTTTTTATTTTATATTTTATCGGCGTTTCTGATAACGATATCAGATTAGCCACGGGTCTTTGCGCGCAGACCATATGTTCAAAGCCTTTCGGGTAGGGAAGGACGGTGGTGCACTGGGTCGATAACTATAGAGTCTTTGGGAGTAGGCCCAGGGTGGATATTAAAGTTGATGCTACGAAAGGGAAAATAGAGGGAAAATAGAATTACTAGCCCGTAGAATGGTAGACATGGTAATGAAATTCAACCTGGAGTTTCAAAATCATTTGCTAATCCGCTCATGGCATCATCAAATTATGCTAAATAACAACCCACGAAAACGAAAAATTATTTACATTAGCGCCTGCCAGGCCAAACAACTTTATTATTTTGTTTCATCAAAAGCCGAACCAGCATCGCTCACAGAGCACTTGCCAGTCCGTTGAAGAACTCCTTGAGACCGTAGGCGCCAGGGTCGGGAATCTTACCCACCCACTCTTCCTCGCCACCAACATACACTGTACGCCCAAGCGAGGCCTTCATGTGCTTTGTGGCTTCGGTGGCTTCCTCTGCAGCCTTGGCGGCAGCATGCACGTCTCTCTTCTCCGCGAGTGTCTTAGCGAAGGGGACAAGTGCGTCGATCATGGTCCGGTCACCCGGTTGAGCAGGTGTGTACTTAGCGAGGGCTGTGATAGAGTACTTCATAGCGGAGCCCCAGACATCGACGTCGGCAGCTGTTGTGGAGCCCTTGTCTTGTTCGCGGAGTCCGTGGACGAGGGCGTTCAAAAAGATAGCGTAGATGGCGCCAGAAGTACCATCCATGGTGTTCTCAACAACTGTTACGATTCGATTGATGGTGTTGATCACATCGCCGTTGAAGTTGATTGAAGTATCATTGATGAGTGCGAGGACAGCTTCGGCACCACGCTTGAGGCCAATGCCGCAATCTCCATCTCCAACAATTGTGTCGTAGCGTGTGATTTCGGGCTCTGCTTTAATGACGTTGTTGAGGGCAGCACCAAGGACTTTGCGAATCTGGGCGATGTCCACTATTATTAATGTTAGCATGGCCATCAGACCTGGTAGTGGGACCTTTAAAAGAAAAATAACATACGCTTCACATTGCTTGGTGGCTGCTCGGCAGCCTTGACCTTCTTCATTTCAACTCCCGGCTTGTTCCGGTACTCCCAGCTCTCGGGGCTGACGGGTGCGGCCCAGCCGATTGCCTCAGCGGGGGCATCAAGGAGCTCAAGGAAGGACTTGCCAGGGCCCAGCCCTGTGTCTGCCAGCTTGAGTAACGAGATGCTGAATCCCATCCCGTTAAGACTAGTGAGGAAGGTGCCCTGGATAACTCGCGCGGGCTTGACCTTGTAGTCTTGGTTGAGCTGGCGATAGACTTCATCGGTGATACCCGACAATTCGAGAGTGCTGACGCCTCCTAGGTTGTTGATCAGAAGCGCAAACTGGTCCTCCGGCTTACGAGTGATATAGGCTCTGTCGGGGTCGTTGTGGTCGAGTAATTGAAGGAGCATTGTCGAAACCAGTTCCACAAGCGTAGCCTTGATCCGGTGAGATCCTGGCTCATTATGGATACCCATGCCAACTTCAACCTCGCCGTGAGGAATGTGGTCATCAGAGGGCTGTCTGCCAGGCACGTGGACGTGCTCTAGAGAGGAACCCACTGAGACAATGTTGGCGTTTGCTAGCTGAGCAGTCTGGTAGACCTCGTCAAGCGAAGCACTGGATAATGTCAGGAAGCTGATCAGACACAGGTAGCAGCAACGGCGGCGACTTACCCTAATTCTGCCAAAGCCCCGACGATCTTTAGGGTAAAGATACCACCTCCAATTCCACGGCGGCCGACTTTACCTCCCTTCAGCTTTCCAACACCAACATCATCATTCATGGCGAAGAATTCGGTTCTGATACCAGCAGCCCGGGACTTCTCTGCGGCCATACCAAAGTTCAGGACATCACCAGTGTAGTTCATGGGGATGATGAGCACTCCATTCTCGTGGTTAACACGCTCCATCGCGGCAATGCGAATCTGCTCTGCAGACGGAGACGCAAAAATAGTCCCCGCCACAGAAGCGTCGCAGAGGCCCTGGCCGACATATCCTCCGAAAGCGGGTTCGTGGCCTGAGCCTCCACCGGTAACAATAGCGACCTTTCCTTTCGTTACGGCTTCGGGCCGGCGGAAAATGACCTTGTGCTCATGGTCGAGGGCGAGAGAAGGGTTTGTGAGTGTCAGGGAGTTTAGGGCAGTTTGCACCAGATGAGTGGGGTCGGAGAAGAAGTGTTTTGCTGGGGAGCGTTAGCGCACAGTTCGGCCTCAGTTCTGGCATATTTTGTGGAGCAATCTGGCTTCACGGTGATCGTGGAGGGGGAGCGATGTGGGGGTGACAGGAAGGAAATGCCAACGAGAATTGGCCGGAATCGCAAATGCGAGAAAGAGGAGACTTGGAAATAACGTACTCTGCGCCATGGCGAACAGTTGGGAGATCAGCGTCCGGGGGACCTGTTATGACGTCGAAGCTCAAGATGGTGGTGGGGTAGGACGATAGTAGAGCCCAGTTATAATTGCAATGCGCAACCAGAAGTTGGAAGACAGTCGTCCAAGAGGCCGGAACACCTTCCTTTATATGTTTGCGCACGCGCCTGTTCCTTGCAAGTCTGGGCAATAATACTCCAAGCGAAGATTCCGGTTATTGCGTGGTTTTCGAGGGACACTATCACGGTGTTGGACAATAGATCAATGCTCAGTCCGGCTCCAGCGGGGAAAAAAAAGTGGAGAAATTTGGCGTGTACTGCAAAGTTGATCTCTCCCCATCAGCCTCTGTTTCATGATCTTGCATCCGGTGGGCATGAAATAGAACGTCTGCCCTTTGTCAATGGCAGGGTGGAAGCTTACCTCGAAATTCAGAGCGGATGCGTTGATGAGTGCGTGAGGGACGCAATTGCAGTGAGAACCACGATGTAAAGTAAAGGTGGAGACGGCGAGAGGGGGACGGATGGAAGGAGTCGAGTATGACAGGGAAGAAGCAAGAGGGGAAATTATAGAGAGCCGAAGAGAGAGAGGGTGAGGGCGCGCTGGATAAATAGGGAAAATCTAAGCACCACCGGCCAAATTCACAGGTGACCGTTTCAAGATGGCGTAACAAGGCATTGCACCTGGCAGAGGCAAGGAGCTCCCGAGGTCAATTGTTGTCGTACCTTTTTTCGTGCTGTCCGTTTTTTTCACGCTCACATGAACAGGTTCGGGTGCATGACCCCATCCATACATCAGGAACTGGAACTGATCTCTCAAATCCGGTAACGGATCGGAGAGAGAGGCGACGTGCCAGCGCTTCGGATTACCTTCTGCGGAGATCCCGCCCAGCCCCGGGTCAATCAGAAAAACGATTGAGTGGGAGTCTGTGGAAGAACGCTGCCTGGGGATCGAGTCCCGGTGGTGAATAATCCTGTCACTCGTGTTTCTTTTTTCTATTTCGACTGGTGGCTTGGGGGGTGGCATAATCCACCCCACATTTCGGTCTCAAGCTCCAGCTCTCACCATTCAGGAGCTGAGCCTATCGCTCTTGCAGACAGTGCCCAAGCATCGGCGACCGGACGCTGGCTCTCATGCAATAGTGTTCAGATAATTACGTACGTCTGGCGCCAATTCAATGACTCTCGCAGTGGTGCTTGGACACGTCACGGAGGGCTCATCGCTGATAGTATTGCCGATTATCGTTGGGCAGGGTAATTGTCAGCACGATAATCTCGACCGTCGCAGGAGAGGTCATGCGACTGAGAAATTGCAGGGGATCTTCATTGCGACTGCTCCGCCGGAGGATTTTCGTGGGACTCCTGGATCAATGCTGTTTCCAGCTGGAGCTGCTCCGGGCTGTTCCAGAAGGTGGATCGAAAAGCTCAGACTTCCACGTGAGCCTCTTGTGGTCCAGACTGTCTCCATCCCGCTTCTGGACTTTCCTCCCCAGGGGCCCAGCACTGCGGTGTGCGGCATACCTACCGCGGAACTCCAAACAAGGGGCCTGCCACACTAGCTTTACGTCGGCCCTGTGATTGATTCTCGGCCGGGATCTACAAGGTCCCTGGGTCCTGGCAGTATGGACGGACTCACATGAGTTCCTTATGGATCATACATTTTAATCTTCACCGGTCGATACCACCGTACCGTGCGTCCAATTACTACGTATTAGCGGAGTGTTCAAATTGGCTGCTTCTGATCTAACGGGGTAAAAATCCGAATCAGAAAAAAAAAGAAGAGGTCCTGCCCGGGATCGAACCGGGATTACCAGATGTGACTCTAATTATGGTATCAGAGTCTGATGTCATAACCATTAGACCACAAGACCTGATTGGTTAGTGTTTTGTTCACAAATTGACTACATAATTCTCAATCAAAATCCACCACTAAAAAAGGCTTTAGCTTCAACTGTCAGTTCAATCCATTGAATCCATTCAATCCACAGCAGCAATCGTCCTATTTAAGGATAGTTGAATGAAGTTTAACAAGTGACTTAAAATTATTTTTTTAACCCATTTCTTAAAGTCCTTCCGGTCTCACTTTCTTTTTTCTCCCGACCGACTTGCAAAACAAAATATGTACAACTCTCGTTATATATAATTCCAACAGCCTACCAATACCCAGTACCTCTCTCTGGAAAATTCGCCAACCGGAAAGAGGACAAATCATCTCAAAGTCTTGGTCAATACCGATCAGACATCAGATTTACGCGGCAAAATCTACTAGCCATGGCCCGGCCCCGGATGATCAGTCTATTATCCGTAAGCGAAAACTCATACTGTTGAAGTTTTCCGAGTGTATATAGGCCAAAAAGAGCCCGAGCTCCTCCGAGAACAAAACACGACAAATAGACAAGACCAAGCACGGGAAGTATCCCTGTAAGTGACACGCCGGCGTACCCTGGAAAGCGAATCCATTCGGAAAAGCAAGTAGATGGCTTGTGGCGTCCAGGCTTTTCCGAACCTAACCGGCTCACCACGCCTTCGCTTCCCCAACCTAGAGAGGAGCGATGTTTCCATTACCCCAAATGTCAACACCCCGCAGATGGTTGACATTGGCGTTCCGGAGAATGGCCGATAACTAAGATCGCGTTTTGTGGAGTTTGCACCCCGGCCAAGAGGTGCCACGACAAGACCGAGGCGCTATAATTTGGAGATGGCAGGGCCCCGCCTTCATAACTGGATAAATGCAGGTATACTCGGGTATCTACCTAACAACAACCACATACCTACTACCAATTACGTCTACATGTGCGCGTATTCTATGAAGGATTGTTCCGCGTAGTCTGGCAGCCTACCCCGCAAATCCCAACCCCGTCTCGTTCCCACAGTTTCCAATACCTCCCGCCCTCGTCTGGCGGAGTACTATCGCCCAGGGACAATTGCCGGACTTGTGCCAGCCCTCGAGATACGCAAACGGCTGCCCTTGTATGGAAATCAGACCCGCAGCAAGGAATACTCAAACTGCACACTACAGTCAACTCATGAGATGAAAAAGCCCATCAGACAAGCTGCAGTTTTACTAGTAGCCTTAACATTAATTCTTGCGCACTGGGAAAGACCTGTCAAGTATTAGTTAATGATCACAGCGCACTCTGTTATTACGATGTACTCCCTGACAGACCTGTATGAAAAGCCGTCTTCCAGGAAACCACTGGTAGGCCGTCTCACAAATTGTTCCGGCCCTAAAGACAAGACAACTTACCCACTCTGGAGTAGGCGTAGTCAGACTCATATCACACCCACCACAACCAAACGTTGCCATCATCCATCACCACCAATCGCCAATTCCAAAAATCTGAAGCAAAAACAAAACAGAACAGAACAAAACGGGATATGAGGTCGTACCCGGGATCGAACCGGGATTACCAGATATGACTCTAAATAAATCAGAGTCTGATGTCATAACCATTAGACCATACGACCGGCGGATGTTTGGTCGCCGGGGGAAAATACACTGTTGAGATCCATGATAGGGCTAACCGCAGCCGAAAGGGGAAATTACGGGTCTTCCCGGCAGTCTCCAGGTCGCGCTAACCAGCTTGTGCCTGGCACTTGCCTTGCCCGTGTGTCAGCGTGTGTAACAGCGGAGTTGGAAAAGTCTTTATTTAAGTTATACTTATATTGATTAAAAGTCAGTGTGTCACAGCCAATACGAAAAAAAGTTCTTGGGAGTAATAGAGGATGATGTCCCCCACAAAAAAGAAGAGGTCCTGCCCGGGATCGAACCGGGATTACCAGATGTGACTCTAATAAGTATCAGAGTCTGATGTCATAACCATTAGACCACAAGACCTTGGTTGTTGTGTTCGGGAATTTTAGTTTAAATTATCAGTACCCGCATACGAATCTAAGGTGCACAAAAACCCCAAGTTAGGGCAGCGCAATAGTGTTCGCCTATAGATAAAGTGTGCCACATTTTACATAGAACAATACACGCATTGAATTGGGAAAGAGTGACCGACTCAGGTCGCCCCTTCTATCTGTATCTAGCAAGGGGCTGGATTGAGGTAGGTCGCACCTTCCTGATATCAATGTTTTTTTATAGAGTAAGAGAGAGTAAGTAGTCAGTACCAATATGATATAAATCACGCCTTTTCAATGTGCGAAAAATCAGTAGCATTTCCCTTATCCTCGACCACGGGCATGATGTTCTTCTCTCTATTTGCTCCCTTATCCTCATCGAACAGAGCAGCCGCCTCCTCCAATGTATGGCCCTTGGTCTCCGGATACCAGAACCATATAGTGGTTGTGATAATCACCAAAAGAACACAGTAGACGATATAATATTTCCATGCTATTGCATCAAGAACAATCGGGTTGACAAATGTGTTGAAGAACAATGCTACCCGGGTACTGTTCATTCCCAGCACTAGACCCTTCGAGCGGAGATCGAACGGCCAGATCTCGCAGGTATAAGAGACGAGGAGGGGCGTGAACGCGATGTCATAGAAGCCGTAGTAGATGAAGAGAAATGGGATCACGGCAATACCCGTTGCTGCAATATTTGTTTGTGCGAAGGACCCCGAGAGAGCTGCGATGATAATATATGAGCATAGCATGCCGACGCTGGAAATGATGAACAGCGTACGGCGGCCGAGGCGGTCGACATTGAAGGCTGCACTGACAGAAAGGATGAGATTCCAGAGTTGGAGGAAGCCAGAGATCATGGTCTGGTTTGTTACGGACGTGATCCCAACGCTTCTAAGGACGGGAGCGAGGTAGTATGAGACAATTCCGACTCCGTTCCATTGGGAGGAGACACCGAGTGTGACTGAGATGAAGGACCGATGGAGGTTTCCACGGCCCCGGAGCAAGTCCATCCACGAGGAGGATTTGCGGTGTTGTGCCTCAAGTGCTAAGGAGTTCACGATCTCCTGGAGTTCGAAGCTGGCGAGAGGTGAGTTTTCATCGCCGCCAGCATGATACTTGACGAGAAATGCGCGGGCTTCTTCTACACGCTCTTTTGATACTAGCCATCGTGGGCTTTCGGGGGCCATGAGGAAGCCTGGGAAGGCGAGTATGGGAAGGGCACATTGCAGTAGGGATGGGATACGCCAGGACCAGTTGTCGGGGACGTTGCGGACACCAAATGTAACCCAGGCAGCAAGGAAGGAACCGACATGCCAGCCGCACATGAACATGGCCGTGATGATACCTCGATGGGTGGGATAAGCAGCTTCTGCCATGAGGATTGGAGCGCAACCTGAAGTAAATGAAGAAGAGCCGCCGATGAATAATCGCCCTAGAACGAACATTGTAGGGCTCTTTGCGGCTGTTTGTAGGGCCACAGCGAGAGCAAGCCACAGAAAGTTGATACCGAGAGTTGTCTTTCGCCCAAAGCGGTCACTGCACCAGGCGACAATGGGATAGAGGACGAAGGATGAGAGATTCTGTACAGCATTCACGAACCCCAACCATGCGCCGGTTGGAGTGTTCATAAACTCCTGCCAACGAGGAAGAGCCTGAAGACCATTCATCAGGGTGCCGTCGTATCCATCGGATGCGGAGAGGAGAAAGAGGCTCAGGAGGGAGAAATTGAGACGGAGAAGGTATCGCTTTCGATACCAGGGAATGTCGTCATTAGGAAGTACCCTGGCCAGTTCAGCGCCAACCGACCTGACTTGAATGTCCTTGTAGGCCATGATAGACGTGGAAAGAAATATTCGAGTTAGGCGCCTAATTTGGACGGCGGTCGGAAGTGAGACACGAGCCTTCTTAAGTTCCTAGACCACGGCCTCCATGCAGTTGAGATTGAGCAAGCCGAAACCTGAATCCCTGTGGTGTCTGGGGGTGAACGGGGCATGATGGACCGGCACCCCATGGGGGAATTGAATGACCTTGCGGGGATGGGAATGGGCAATCACAAACCCAGGCCTGAACTGGAAGACCAAAAGAGGCAGATTAATGAATGATTGAACGGGATGGAGACTACGGCAAGGGTTCCGGTGCCGTCTCCCACCGGAGGATCATGGCTCCCCTGGCCACGGGGAGAGTCGGCCTTCTATGCATCTAGGCAAGTTGGGCGATACAGAGTGGCGATCTTGTTATGATTTGGAATTTTGAATAAATTCATGTCTCGTTATTATTGGGGAGTTAAGTTCTTGTGAAACATTTTATTGACATTGAATCTAAAACTCTTTTATAATTCATACACTTGGGAACGCCGCCTGCAGAAGCATCTGCATCAGGTCGACGTCCTGTCGGGCGTCCTCGATCGTTGTTTTAGGCTCACTTCCCTGGACGATAGACTCGTGCCACGCCTTTAGCTCTACCGTATAGTTATCCTCGTACGTGGCTCGCACGTTGCGCTCTTGGTAGCATTCCTCCCCACGCGGACCGGTTGTTTTCTCACGCACCGTCATTGTCGTTGGTAACCCTTTAACATATGGAGTATCGTAGTTGATGCGTACAATCTTGTCTTGCCCGTAAATCTCGATGTGAGCGTCAAAAATAGGGACTTGATTGATCCCGGATTCATAGACAACTGGGAATGACCCGTAGTCAAAAGTTGCTGTCCAGATAGGAGGTTTCAGCACCGCAGCCATTACGCTTTTCGGCATCCCAATAGCCTCCCGCATGGCAGATAAATCATGTGTCCCCAGACCACCCAGTATCATCAGCATCCGACGTGTCTCGTCATTGGCAATGACTCCGAAAGCAGCTAGAGCCTCATCTGAAGCCGTTCGATCCTTATCATGTAGAGCTTGTGAGTCTTCAGGGGCGTAATCGTCAAATCGCTTGGGGTATGTTCCTGACTGTCCAACGAATGCTGCGTTGGGTCCGATGATATCGTGGACCCGAGCGTATAGAATCTGTGAGATTCCCCCAATCTCTGCGATGGCGTCAAGGAAGCTAGGCGCATAACGTCGCATGTATCCCACCATCAACTGGCCCTTGGAAGCCTTTTCTACAGCCTGGAGTTTCTCGATGTCTTTGTAAGAGCTGGTGAGCGGCTTCTCGACTAATACTGATTTGTCGTTCTTTAGGGCAAGCAGTGCATGTTCGGTATGATAAGCAGACGCATTGCAAACCAGAACTGCATCGACTTCGGGCGAACTACACAGTTCTTCGGCAGATTTTGTAACCTTTGGAGGATTTCCGGCCACCTTGCGTTGACAGTGTTGTAGAGCGCTTGTGGAGATATCGCAGAGGTAGGTGACTTGAAAGTAGTCGGACAGAAAGTTGAAGGTTGGAATGTGTGATACCTATCTGTCAATTAGAAAAAAATAAGCTGAATTGAACCTTTGAAGCTGTCTTGCCTGGGCGATTTCACCACAACCGATCACACCAACGCGGACGATGCCTGAACCCATCTTGGATAGCAAGTGAGGTATGGCAACGGAAGGTTAGCGGCGACATTGGCAAGAACTTGGGGGGCATCTCAATTTAAAATCGGCAATTGAGCAGCCCCGCATTGTCTTGTCATGGGAGCTTCGAGAGTGTGTTACAATCAGTTGGAGTCTGTTGCTTTTTCTTTTGTGCTTTCGAGCGGGGAAAACCGGCAACCTTCCTACAACTCCCTCCATCATCCTGCATACATCGACGTTGGTACCTTATGGGTTTTCTCTAGGCTGTGATTCGCATTTTCCATCCAAGCGCCTCGAAGCCCACCTCTCGAATATGCAGCAAATGAGTCCTCACCGAAGCGTTGAGGACGCAGATGGTGCCGGGGATCCCCCGGCTGCAAAGAGGCCTCGAGTCAGCGCACCACGCAGTGCGTATCCTCGCAGACGGGCTGTGGCGGCCTGCCAGCTCTGCCGCATGAGAAAGGTACTGCGGATACTGGATAAATCTGATACAGAATGGCTAATTAGGCCGCCAGTCTAAATGTGACAACCAGCGTCCTTCTTGTGGCACATGCACTTCACTGCAATTCCAATGCGTCTATCAGGATACCTCCACAGACTTTTCCTCGTAAGGCCCCTGGTCCGCTCTTCGTGAAGCTACCCTAACGATCTTCCAGGTTTGACCCGGCGAGCCTTGCCATTCTGGATCGCGTAAATTATGCTATCCGGCTGATAGAACAAAGCCCCGGCACTCCGCGCACTTCATTTCCCGACACCCCGGGTGGTGCGAGAAACGTCCCACAGGAGTCTGGGGAAAGTGCCGGCTCTAATTTGACGCTAACAACATCTCCCAGCGAAACGATTTACAAGAGTACAGAATATACATTTTTGCTAGAAGCACAGCAGCTTCAGGCAAAGTGTGCGAGCGGCCGTGTTTTAAAATGGCCCTCTCTTAGTGGTCTTTGTGACCCGAACGAACTCGACAAGTTGTTCTTCAACCCGTCCTGCCCTGAAGAGACCGTGGAGCAAGGAGTGTCATCTAGGGGTCGTGGAATTCGCGAGGAAGACGTTCCTTTACTTGTTGAGAATTTCTTGGAAAACGTTCACACGAAGAATCCAATCCTGGACCCCCACGAGCTGAGAAATCTGTCTCGCCGTATCGAGGAAGATGGTTTTCGATGGGATGGACCGTCCTGCTTGATTCTTATCACATGTGCCTTGGGAACAGTCGCCAGGCCTTTCTGTCTTGATACTCCGGGACCTCAAGATAGGTCCCATCAGGACGGCCGCGACTATGTTACTGCCGAATCATACTACAATGCGGCACGCAAGCGAATCGGCTTACTAGGCCCTTCGATAATCGCTATTCAATGTGCGTTCCTCGTCGGTGTTTACGAAATGTATACAATGCGACCCCTACGAGCTTCACTATCGTTCAACCGAGCCTGTACCTATTTTCAAACCCATCTGAAATCCTCATCATTCAACCAGTCTGTTGAACAGTCATCGGAGACAGTCAGATCTCGCCTTTACTGGTCCTGTCTGAAGTCAGACTGTGAAATGAGAGAGGAAATTGCGTTGCCACCAACAGAATTGGCCAAGGTAGAATATTCCGATGCCTTCCCTTCTCCCCCGGAGAGTGTATTGTATCCAGATGGTGGAACTCAAGTCGGATCAACCACAAATTTGGCTGCCAGCTCGGAACGCAGTTGGTACTATTACTTGTCAGAGGTTGCAGGCCGGCGAATGCTAAACCGCATTACTGCCACACTGTACCCTTTGGACCCAGACGAATGGACAAAAATGCCTATCCATAACCTTCAGCGCATTGCTGAGGAGCTCGATGCTCAGGCCGTTCAATGGCTGGAGAACTTTCCGCCCATGTTCCAATCTAATGGCGCCGACACTGCAGATGAACTATCATATTTCCTCCACGCGCGGTACCTAGATCTCCGTGAGCGAATTTGGCGACCCTTTTTGTATTTGGCGGCACACTCCAGCCCCCGGGATCCGAATATGCCGATATATGCGCAGAATGCTAACCTATGCCTGGAGAATATCTCTAACCATCTCCGCAATTGTTTCACTAGACATAGGCACCATGGATCCTGGTTTGCAGCACGCAATCTTTTTACCAAAGGTCTCCTGGTGCTGGTGGCTGCGAGGAGCCAGAACATTGCGATGCCTTCAGATTGGACTACAATGATGGACAATTGTATCGCGGGCATCGCATACTGGGAAGACGAAGCCCCAGATTTGCGCACTGCAAGACTTGCTCTTCAGCATATCTACCAGTCGGTTAACCCGCCCGTACCAGCATTTGGAAGCCCGACTCAGTAAATGTATGCACTAGCCTAATGCATCTTGGTTCGTTTGGTTATACTTCGGCTCGCTGCTGGGACCCACCTGGGCAAGCCTGCCGGGGAGACACGGACTTAACGCCATTTCTTGCGGGGATAGCAGCCGCTTCTCCGCATACAACGAGGCTGATGCTTCGGGACATCTTACACCGTACACTATCCATGCTGTCTTGGCTCCCTTCGTAACCTCTATGAGAAGTGGGGTGCTCACCGATAAGCTTGTCATATAACCTGACCATAGCCCGACTTTAATATTGCTGGAAGCCCTCCACTTTTACTAAACAAACCGAAAGTCCGTCAATTTCGTCCTATAAACGAATTAGCCCTAATAACGAAGTACAATGGGTTCTACCGACACTCGCCTTCCGACCCTCCGTTGGGGCATAATCGGTAAAACTACTGCCTCAAAACTCTCGTAATAATACTAACAGCCCCAAGGAACGGGTCTCATCTCCTCCTGGTTCACAAAAGACATAACCACACCTCGCAAATCCACCTCCGCAACGCACAGCATCCAGGCAATCGGCTCCTCCTCGCTCGAAAAAGGCAACGAATTCCTCACAACACACCTGCCAGCCCTTTTCCCTAAACCAACTGTCTACCCCGACTATAAGGGCGTTTACGCCGACCCCGCTGTCGACATAGTCTACATCGGCACCCCCCACGGCCTCCACAAACAGAACTGTCTCGACGCAATCGCTCACGGAAAACACGTCCTGTGCGAGAAAGCATTCACACTAAATGCCTCTGAAGCGCGCGAGGTTCTCGCCGCCGCAAAGGCCAAGGGCGTTTTCATTATGGAAGCCATGTGGACGCGATTCCACCCGCTAACGTCCAGCCTGCGTCAAGCCCTCTACACCGACAGGGTAATCGGCGACGTGCGCCGCACGTTCTGCGATTTTGGGCTCGACAAGGATATCGCTTCGTTGCCTGCTGACTCGCGACTTAAAGACCCCAGAATGGGCGCAGGGAGCTTGCTGGATATAGGCATCTATGCGTTGACTTGGGGCTTACTTACCCTTGATTCGGAGGTAAATGAGAGGCCGCGTGTGAGTGCGACTCAGACGCTTAGGGATGGGATTGATGTTGCCTCGTCTTTTATACTCCATTACCCAACCACAGGACGCCAGGGTATCCTGACGTCCACAACGGAGGCTAGGACGCCGGGAGTGTTTATGAGGATTGAGGGAAGTGAGGGATACATAACTGTCGAGGGACCAGCGGCGTCAGCGCCGCGTGCTTTCACGGTTTATCCTAAGATTGGCAGTGCGAGTACGAGTGCGGAGCAGGAAGGGAAGAGGTATGAGTTTGAACCGGAGGGGATGGGATTCTACTTCGAAGCTGATGCGGTGGCGGGGAGTATTAGTCGGGGGGAGAAAGAGAATGAGACGATGAGCCATGGCGAGACGGTAAGAGTTTTGGAGATTTTGGATGTGATTAGGGCTCAGGGTGGGGCGAGGTTTCCTCAGGAGGAAGAGGCTTAGAGCTCATATTATATAGGTAGACGGTGGAGTTCTGATTTACGCCTGACTGATCTAAAAAAAACCGCTAGAATGCTCTTGAGCTCGTAAAGAAAGCCATGTACAAAGACAAATTAGTAGTGTCTAACTAGGCTACATATTGGTATCTGTTTCCATCGTCGCGCTCCATGTAATCCTTCTCGATCAACCTGTTTAATCTACGGTTAGCAAATTGATGCGTAAGAGAATGAATGGTAGAGGAACCGACTTCTCAATATTCTTCTTGATATCCGATGGATCAAGAACACCGCGGCTCCGCGTCGCCTTGATAACTTCCGCCACCAGTTCGGCGTGTGTGATGCTCTTGCGACTTTTCATTATCCGCACAATTGCTGCTTGAGTCTCGTAGTGACGATCAGCGGCGACGCGTTCATGGGTTGTCTTGTTCTCCTCTTTGGTCTCCTTCAGCTGGATCTGGTTAATCTTGATCCGCATTTTCGGGTCGGTAAATGTTGGATTGTAAGCAAACTCGTCGGTCTCATTAACATCCCGACCCTTAGGCTTCTTGCTGAGAACCCGGTATTTGGCGCACGCAAGAGACTGGAGCGTCCGCGTAAGCTCTTGGTCCGCTTGAAGGTGTCAGTAAAGAAATGTCTTGAATAGTAAAATATTGAGGCAAGGTGGCCTACATAGTGTAGTGGCGTCTTGAATCTGGCGATAGCTAAGTGTGCCCCCATCCGGGAGTTCATTGAACAATAATAGCACAACTGCCTGGAATGAACTGACGACAAGTTCCTTGTTTCCTTTGGGGAACCTTGCCCGGATCTGACAGTGTGCTAGCTGGTGCTTCCATGTGAGCTTCCGACCATTGTATTTGCTGTCATAGAACTTCTCAAAGTCGCTGATGGCGGTTGCGATCTCCGGCGGTATCCGCACTGGGACATCCACGTATGTCGGCCATGCCGATTGGGATAGCACACTGACGTGTAAATCAACCGGAAGAGGAGTTTGTCGCTCTCGCTGAATGGAACTATAAGCACCCATTTCATCCCGAGCAACTTCCATATCTTTGAACATGGATTCGAGGTTGTGTGTAAAACTCGAACCGCATTCTGGAACCCAGTTAGTATACAATAGAGAACGTGATATTGCATAAAATACAAACCTATCTTGAGCCTTGACAGCATGCTCTTCTCTGCATCATCGCTTGCGCTTCTGCCCATCAAGAGGCGACGAGCCAGGTCATTCTTGTAGAAAGCCTCGAAGACAGCTTTCCCATGGACGAAGCGGAACAGGTCTAACACCTGATCTAACTGTCGATTGATCTCTGCATCTTCATCTGCCAGTGGCATGTCCTCTGCCTCTCGTGTGGGGGCTAGTCTCCATCCTCCCCGAAGAAGCCTGTCTACGTATTTCGCAATCATCTCCCCGGTCTTTGGGTTGTCCGTACCACCCGTGGAGTCTGACTTTTTGCCCTTGTTCATGAACGTCTCAAAGGCCTCGCGGAGAGTGTGACCGAGGTCTTCATTTCGACGGAATGATTCATTCCAGATATTGTCAAGCTGTTTCTTAAAGTCCAACAAACGGGAAACCATTTCCGCGTCTTTCTCTTCATCGAAAACGATACCCGTCCCTTCCTCCACAATGTATGCGCTGAAGGCGCCTTTCAGTTTGGCGCCAAGATCCTTTCGCTCAAGGAGTGTGTAAAGTTGTGCTAGAGCAACGTTGTTCTCTACTCGCAGCAAACCGAGAATGTCCTTCTGATTCAACAAGACATCTTCCTCGTCTGTTACTAGAGTTTGGTCGAGTAGTTCAGACAGTTTCTGTTTAGTGGTCTTGTTGAACGAAAATTGTTCACAACGATTCATCTCGTTCTCAATCAAGCGATGGCTATTTTCCACATATGACGCTAGATATCCGGATGCCTCTTGCTGAGCCCAAAGGGAAAAAAACCCCTTTGAGTCCGCAATAAGCACAGGCTCCAAACCAGAAACATAAACATCAAGACTGTGGAATAGTTCAATAGCATTCCGAAGAAGGGAGGAGTCGGCAAGCATGCTGTGGTCCTCGCTGCGATCCGCAGCGACGAGATCACAGGCGCCCTGGAGTATCTTTTGCTGTAATGTGGGATCGGAGTATATGTGCTGTCGAAACTGTATTAAACCCATCTCTCGAATTACGGGATGTTCTTTGGAGTGAAGGAGAAACGACTGGTCAAGGTAATAGAAGATCCAGCGCACGGTAACCTATTGCACGTGTCAGTATAAAAGTTTTCGCATCATGATAGAGGAGACCATACCAGCATTGATTGCCATACTTTCCAACCCTCTACCACAGACCTCAGAGTATCGATGTTGGATCCCATCCGGGCTTTGTCGACCAGAGAATCGTGTAATTTCCCGGTAACATGCTCGCGACATCGCTCTTGAAGCCGTCTTGATAGTTCTGCAGCCCGACCCTGACGACATACATTCTCGGCCCCCTTGTATAGCTCCTCGAGTGATATCTCCGGCTTCCCGCCACTAAAGATTGCTGATAAGGCCGCATCTAATTGACCCCACACTTTATCAAAATATGAATCCCGATTTAAGCGACCGCCCGTCTTCAAATTCTTCACAACCAGCCTCTTCGCTCCAGTATGCGGCGTGAAGTTGCTCTGATGGGATGGGGCATTGGGCTGAAGGGCGGAATTCGACAAGACAGGTTCTCCGGTATTCGGACCACTCGGTTTTGTCCCTGTGTTCGAAAAACTGTACATTTCGCCGGAGCCGGGCTGGTTCGGAGGTAGGGACGAGAGAGACGATCGCACTCGCTTGGTTGTCGGCGATGGAAGTTCGTCTTGCGCTTTGTTGCGGTGGAGGAGCTCCGAGATGGTCGCTTGCTGATTTGGAGGTTGTTGAGTCGAAGCCTCCTGATCGTTCAGCTTCCTCTTGCTAGAAACCTTGCGCTTACCGCTCCTCTGCTCGGTGGCGCCTCTCGAGTTCTGCTGCATCTACCCGGTTCTATCTAGAAGAGGGAGAAGAGGGGAAGCATTCACAGCTGGAAAGACCCAAAAAGTGTTCGGATCACGAAAACCATCGCAAGAAGCCTCTAATTCTAGAATTTCCTCGATTTGCTGGTTGATGCGATGGTAAGCTGAGATATGAAGGAAGCTGGGAGTGAGGGACCTCCGCAGTTCAATTGACGTTGAAGCTAGAGATAGTTAAGATAATACATGATGACATAAGCTAGCACATCATGAATCCGGGGGAAGCTCAAAGCGCTCCTCGGTTTTACACTACTTAAGCTGTACGTATCCGTGCTTAAAATGGCTTGATAATTGAAGAGCTAATAAGTGTTGTTGTTTTCGTTGATGTGTTATGAAAAGTTCGTGAGTCGAATGTATACTAGAATCAATTCCCATATGCTTTATCCCATAAATACACCAGTCCTTCCATGCATCGACTTCTTATGCAAAACCTGGTTTATGAAAATAGCTGCGGCCCAATATGCTGCTGGACTACGTTTTCTTCAACCTACAATGAAAAGTTAGACGTTGATGTGGGACGGCAGAGTGATTGTGCGCACCTCTAAAAAGTCTGTAGCAGCAACAAGGGCCGTGTATGACTTCGCAATGCTGGTAAGTGAGTCGTGGTGGTCGACTGCACCAGATCCGCCAATCTTGGCAAAACGCTTGAATATGCCCACCATGCTCTGCCTGTTCTCCGTGAGGAAGGATCGGGTCTGCTCGACCATTTGTTCGTTGTGGAACCCTCGAGAAAATGCTGCCGTGACAATGACTCGGAGCACCGAGTCGAGGAGATCGTAGTATTTCCGAAGGGCATCGGCGTTATCAATGTCTGCTATGGTTAGAGAATGAGGTGAGGAGTCTTCTAAGAATGCATTAGTACATACCGATACCAAGGTCGGGATCCGCAGCGAATAGCTGTGAATCGCGCACGGCCTGGAATAAGCCAGCCTTTAACACGTGAGTTGCGCCAGGTTTTGTTTGGCAGAGCTGTTGCAGCAAGGATAGTAGGGATTCGTAATATGATAAGAGTATAGGCGTGTCTATAATTCTTGATTAGTGACTCGTGACTAGTGACGAACTGACGGATGGAAAACACTTACCGTTGGTTTGGGCATTCCTAAGCTCGACCGGCAACACTCGAATGCTATCAAGGAATAAACTCAGGTAATTGGACTCGGCTATTGATTCGGCTAACATAGCGTCCGCGTGCCTGTCCAGCGTTGCCAGAGCATTGAGCAGTAAAAGGGCTGAAACTCGGCACGTTTCCTGGCCGGTGTAGGCGTCGTCGCAAATGGCCTCGATGAGAGCGCTACCCGATGATTTGACTACTTGCTGGCAGTGTTGTCTCATGCTACCATTTCCAGTACTAGAGGAGACGACACGGGCAATGTAGAGTGCGCAGATGTTGTAGAAAGTCTCCTTTAGATGGACACTCCCAGTGGACAGGACGATACCTCGAGTACAGATTTGGAATAGTTGGTGTAGCTTCTCATCAACAATATCCCCATTACGCCTCGGAGGTGTCGATTTGCCAGATGTTGGCTCCAAATGTTCAACCAACGTCTCCGCCAACCGGGCCAGCTCAAGACCTTCAGGGAGATTCTCTTCAATAGCACCCTCAAGTTTCGGTAGCGTTAGTTGAATGGAATGTAGGATGAACGTTAATTTCCGTCCACCCTCAAGCTCGCAGCAAGTGAGTATAGTGGTGAGTAACTCAGCCCAGGAGCGGAGTGCCATGCGCCGGTTGAAATTGATTATTCGTGATTGATTTGTTGCTCGCAGGAACACAATTAAGCTTTCCCCTTCAGCATCGAACAATTCAGAATCCTGCGGACGCAACTCATTGTCTGCTAATCGGTCTTCTTTCCTGGCTTGTATGAGTGCTTCCACTTGGGGAATGTCGTATAATGCAAAAGAGCCGTCGGCTTGCGGCTTTGCGCACACGTCAATGTTAAGCCCGGCGAGAAACTCCACATCTGGTGTCAGCGCATGGAACTGAATATCGAGGTCCGCGAAATCGAAAAGGTCGAACACAGTCGGGTTTGGAAGGATTGCTCCATTATCTAAAGCGGAGCTTCCAAACAACGTAGACAGGATATTCTCTAGTAACGTGGGTGAACCAATTTTTGCCGCAGAGCGAATCTCCGTTGCAGCATAGTCGAATAGACAGCTTCTAAACAATAAGAATTCCGCGAGCGCGACTGTCGATTCGCACACCCAAAAATCCTCTGCCGCAAGTGGCAAGCCATCCCATTCCGTGCTTGGCCCCACTAGAGGCTGGCTCGCAAACAAGCTGACAAGGAAGCCACTGGCACGCATCTCCGCTAACGTATAATATGACGAAATTTTCGACGACCATAGATGTTTCAATACTTCAAACGCCGTGCGTTTCGAGTGCAGCATCCATGGCACAACGTTGTCGTCCAACTCACCCGGGTAACTTTGCACGTAACCTAGAATGGCGTGGAGTAAGGACGTGCCGTTGGCGAACAAACCTTCAGGGGAAACATCAAGCAGGTTGCCCACACAGCCGAAACCAAGCAGCAAGTGAGCAACTGTAGGCCGATCCGAGATCATATCCAAACAGCTATTGAGGAGCTGTAATAGGCTTTGACGTATGATGTAACCCGAAGCTAGCGGGCCAGAATCAAGCTCCCTCGGGTCGGGTTGCATATGAAGCACGAAAGGACGAGAGACACCATCCACATCAACCTCTGTGCTCAACACCTCAACAATCTTGTTCGATGACCGCCACCTGGATAGCTCCGGGGAAGAGAGCCTGTTCAGTCGCTCGGAACTCGATAGCTTTTCCAATAGAGCCATTGAAGAGACGGTAAGCTGCTGGTGACCCGTACTGCAATATAGACACAAATTGGGGATGATCTGCAAATTGTTCAAGACGCAGTCCTCGAACGCGGAGAGCGAAGAATTTGCAACGTTAAGTCTGCTTCCAGGTTGTGATCTTATGAAGGGTCGAACGATGTTGAAGTATGTTGACTGGAGATCCATAATCATATACATAACCTCAATGCTCTTAACCAAGGATGATACCAAAATAGAGTCCGACGGAGCTTTCGAAATCTCGGCAACCTTTTGGTCTGCTGTTGCAAAAATAGCCTTGATAACATCTTCATTATACAGCCACTCGGCTACACGCGCGAACGGATGAAGGCGAACATATGTGAGCAGTGTCGAAGTTTTAAGGCTGGGTTCTGGTGTTGCCGATGCCCCGCTAAGTGCAGTAACAAGGGGCTCGTTGAAGGAATTCAGGCATGTCAAGACAAAATCCAGAGAATTGTGAGTGAGTAGTCTAGATTGGCGCTCGTTGAGATCAGGGATCTTTCTTGAGAGTGCTTGACCCAAGATGAAGTCTATGTACGGTTCAATACCCGGCATACGATAGGACGAGCCAAGCGATTCGGGAAAGGGCAACCAGAGGTGATAATCAGCTGAATCGATAGCCGGGGAAACAAGGGAAAGTATAAGAACGATAAACGCATTGGCTTGGTCGAAGCTTTCACCAATCTTCTCGAATGCCTGCTGCTCGTGCCAGATAAGCGGGTTTGAAACCAGAGGAACTTTGTTGTGAGCGGAGGCACTCATAGCTCCGCTAGAGATCCATTGATCAATTGAGAGCCACATTTCATTTCCGTTAAGAGCGCTCCTATCAGACATCAGACCTGCAAGTGCTTGGAACACCGTTGCCCGTAAGTGAGAGGGTAATGGCCCACCGCAAAGGGTCAAAAGTGTGCTAACAATGTTGAACGATGGGTGATGTAGCATCCATTCCCGGACGGCGGAGCTCTGTCTGGAAAGATGCCCGAGAAGACGGAGGTAACATGAGAGCATGACAGGACTTTCCGGTTCACTCATTTCAGCCGGCTCGAACTTCCTGGCGTGCTGAATGGTTTGGGTCGTTGTGGGCTTCTCTGTGACTCGTGTTGCGTATATTTGAAGTTCTGCGAACATTTGCGACCAATTCATGGATGTGGACCGCTTGAATTTTGAGGACATGAATTTATCTTCTTCCAAGAGAAACCTATGCGCAGACGCGGCATTGTCCTCTCCTCCAGAGATTGAACATAATAGTTCGCAAAAGGCGCTAACCCTGGGTACGGTCTGTCGCTTGGAGGCCCACTGCAGAAAGCCGTATAGATTTCCATCGGGATCGGCCCAGAACTCCTGCGCTGCGTCAGGACGGCCTTCGAATGCGAAGGCCATGATCAATAGAAAAGACTCAAGATGTGTTCGGGCTTCCACAAGACTGCGATGGAGATTTGAAGTCAATCCATCCCTCAGCGCGGTAATTTGATCCAGTCTCTGAGAGTCCTCCTCGGTTTTCAATTTTCGAACAGCGTCCGGCATATTCGCCACGCAAGATTCCGCAAAGGCCTCAAAGTTCTCCATTAACAAGAATTTCAAATATGAAGAGCATGGATCCGTTTCAGGCGTCGCCCAACCACTTTCCCTCATTGAAGACGCACTTTCTCTCAACAGCATTGTTACCAATTCACTGCGGACTGGGTCGTTCCACTCCTCACCACTCACACCTGAGCAAATGGCAACTAGGAGATCCAGACCTCCGTCGTCTAGGGCCGACATGAACATTCTTGTACGTTCTTCACCTTCCTTTTCGAGGTCTACACCTGGTGGAGCTGACGACGGCCCATCGTAGTCCCATCCACTGTAGACTGCGAGCCAAAGTGCGACGACTGCCGAGTGAAATGTTTGGAGTCTCCAGTTCTGACCATCTTTAGTAGCGAGGATGGCTGTATTTAGGCTCCGGGCGTCATTATAGTTACCCGATCGCTCGGGAGAGCCGTGCTGGACAAACGAGGAAATTATGGACGGAACGTAGTGGATAAGTATGCCATCAAAACGGTCGATCTTCCTGAGGTGGTTTAGCAATATTCTTAGATCCTCAGAGCTCGTGTATGGCCCTTTGAAAAGGTAGCATATTATTGCACCCAGCGACTCGTGTTGCTGGAACAACGTGGTGCGCTGGTGCTCTATAGCCTCCATGATGTCCTGATCTTCTGCTTCTCCAACAAGGGAAACCTTTTGGATTTGTTCACCAAGGAGAGCCAGCCACCTCTCGATATCCTCCATGGACTTTAGGCATTTGCGTGTGAATAATGATGCGTTCCGTAATTGGCCGTCTTTGATCTCGACAACATGAGCCAACATTTCTTGCATCAACTCTTGCGTCTCTTCCCGCTCTACCTCGAAAGATTCCTGGAAGATGAGGCGCAGTGATTCTAGTAAGAAGTGTCGCCGTTCGTGGAATTGTATGATTGCGACAATCACAGGAGGTCTATCCAGCATTGGAGCAGCCTCTTGGGCCCTGAGAAATAACAGCGATGCAACCAATTCGTCGATATCGAGTGCGTCGGCGACCTGAAGTGCGCCTTGTTGGAATTCCTCGTTGACTGAATATTCCACATCGTTGATTGTGATTTTCCCTGTATTCGGTGTGGGGCAAGTCAGCGCAAGAGCTTCTTCACCATTTCAATTATGAAAATCGTAGCGTATGGTTTAGTCATACCAGAGAGAACACTTTGTCGGCTTGCATTGCTCTTTGTGGGCTTGTCAAGTAGGGACCTAAAGGCATGAATGTGAGTCTCCAACTCGACGCGGAGTCGGTCTATGTTGACAAGAGACGAGTCAGAGAGAGCAGAAAGATCCTGGTACAGGCCGCGAAGGCCAACCAGAGATTCTGCGCTATCCATGCTCAGAGCCGAACGAGTTGGTGCTCGAAGCGCGGCGCAGGAGATGCGATGCAAAGAAGCATCAGAGTGTTTGTTCCAGCAACAAAAAAGGTCGGAGAACGCGACAAAATTCCGGCGGTCTACAAAGGCGGCGAGAGCTTTAGTGACCCACCAACAATCCGTCAGCTCAACACCAAAACAGCCCCAGAGCTGGGGGTTTTCATGCGAATATAATATTTTTTAGTTATTTGTGAAAGATCGGCTGCCGATAGACGACATATACCCACATCGCAGCGCATACATCGCAAGTTTTGTTGAATTATGGGGCATCTGTGCATTCCCAGATGAGCTACAGAGCTGCTCCCACTGTTTTCTAGCCCAGAACTAAAGCCAAGACGCTCCTACGATGAAGGGAGAAATTACTCTCGATGGAGCGATTGCGCTTCTATCGTCGGAGAAGATCAAAGACCGCACAGATGGCTTAGCCGGTTTGTTTATTATCGAATGCTTTTGTTCCCGTTCATTGACGCCCGTTAGATTTGAAACATATTCTCCAGCAGAATAAGCGCAATTCGAAACTGTATGGGAGCTTCCTATGACTTGATCGATCTGATTTGATTCAAACGCTTTTTATATTGACATATACCGATTTACAGGCAATCGATGGGCGACAAAGCTTGTCACAAGATCTTTGAGTCTCTTTTCCGTCTTATCTCCACGGAGAAATCATTATATACCCGAGCAAGTTCCAAAGGAGCCGCTTCTTCGCGCCTATCTGCATGTGTCTCCGTTCTCCGTACGGCTGTTGATGCTTTGCTTCGCAACTTGCGGACCAAGTCAGTTCGAGCTGTTATCGACCATATCACTGATGTCTTGGCCAATCCAGGGACAGCCCTTTTTGAGCTTCTCAGTGTGGACTATACGAAGTGCTTGAGTACAATCTTACATTACCCCCCACATGTCGAACATCTGGGCGTGGAAGAATGGGAGAATGTAATGCACTTCTGTCTCAGGATCGTTGATATTTCAGACGACGAAGAAAGCCAACGACGCACATGGAGTCCTCACACATCTGTTATGGATGACTACCTTAGTGCTAGCGGCGGCCGATCGACACCATCCAGGATGACACCCTCACTAGCCCTTAGAGAGAAACCAAAAGGGTCTCCTGGGGCAGTTGAAGAAGCCCTGATATGTATCAGAATACTCTCGGGAGTCGCGAATGCGCCTATTCAAGAGAATGCGGAAAGCTTACTTCCTGGGCTGGCAAAATATGTAAGGTCATCGCCTCTTGCCGGAAGTGGTCATCAGTCAGCCTTTTCTACCATTAATACAGTGGTGATGAGAGTCATATTCGATAACTCGGAGCTCACTCGAAACACATTACTTGACCTAGTTCCATCCATCCGACAACACTGGGCCACAAAGCTTATAGGCCTGAAGGACGAATTGCTCGTCACTGCCATGCTTATTGTGACTACCCTTACTGATGAAATTCGAAGAGCACCTGCCGCTGATTTAGAAACTATAATTGATGGGCTTATGAATACTTTACAGCGCGAGTATTCCAAGCGTCCTGAGAAGGACATCCTCCAGGTGGATGAGCTGGTGTTCGACTCAAAAAGTTCAGCGCCGCATGAAAGGTTTCATCTGTGGCCACGACTAGAGGCTGCTAGGTCTGAACATAACTGGACAGTAGTCTGGGTTATCGCAAGATTGATGGAGATGTCTGAAGAGCTCGGTACACGATTGTCCTTCCCTGTTGAGGGCGAAACTCCGAGTAAAAAGCAACGACTCGGGTCGAAGATAGACGATGTTTTTCGAGATTCTACCGGGTCTTTTGGCGCTAGAAGAGTGCCTGCCCTCCAGTTGATCCCTTTTCTCCCTAACCATTATGCCTCCATCGAGTCAAAAGTCTCCTTGCTGGAGCGATTAATCCCAAATATACACGACGACAATAGCGCCGTATCTTCTTGGACAATGATTGCGATTGCAAGGTAGGTGCATTTAAACCGATGACTGGCAACCGAGTTAACGACGTTCCGCTATAGTATCGCAGCTAGCCCCGAGGCAGATGCATTGATTCTCAAACGACATTGGCAACAAGTATGGGACTTGACGTCTCGTGCCTCTACATCACAGTTCACCTCCAGGGCTGCTTGTAATCTCCAGAATAAAATTCTTCAGTTTGGCCTGTTGGACTACTCCGCTGTGGTAGAGACGATGGACTCAATGCTTTCATTTGTAAACTTGAATGGGCCGTCCAACCTTTCCGATGCATCCCTTGAGTTATGGGCAAGTGTAATCAGAATGAAGACCCAAATGAACCCGGGATCTGTTTCAAATGCATCTAGCCAGATTTGTACGTGGTTGAGAGATGCGTGGAGCATTGGTATGTTGCGCCCTTCTTGTGCTTGAATCGCGACAAACTTACAATATCCACAAGGGACATCGATGGATAGAACACAAACATCGCAGATTGCTGCGTTTGCACGCCCACTTGAGCTTTTGAGTTTAATCATGGCTTGTACAAACAGGCCCTTTCGCCAACCTAGTGTCTTGTTTAAAGGCCCAACAGGCATTATTGCGAAGTGTTGGTTTTTTTACCACACAAACAAAAGAATCTGGAGCTATCTTTTTGATATACACAGTCTGCTAGACGTATATGATATGTGGGATGCGGAAGAGACAGTTTCTATCCAGCAATTCTCACAGCTTGATCCAAATGATTTGGGTGTCATTGACCTGTTGCAAGCAAAATCGGAATATTTCCTTCATTCTTGGCAGGCATTATCCGAAGACAAATCACGGCACATCACATCGGATATGGTCCAGATTCTTACGTCTTTCTGCATAACTGTTATTCTATACAGTTTCTGCCTACCGGAGCAGCCAGGATCTCGGCTACAGGCCTTGCACTCAAACACTCATCGTTTGTGGGAGAGTATCTGCTCACTTCTAGCTTCACGCGAATCTGCCTTCATTCTACCTTCCTTGTTATTATTCCCGTCCTTTATTCCTCTGGATTCAGGCTTTTCCAAACCAGTGGCCGGTGTTCACAAGGCTCTCTATGAACTTGTGGCCCCGTTAAGCAGAGTTCTCGAAGGCTACAGACAGTCCCATAAAGAGATATCTGCTTCCAACGAGAGGGAGGGAGACATGGACTTGGACGATCCCTTTTTGGCGTCAACGGACCAGATCGAGGAGGTGTCAAACATCGTATCTGGGAATCGGACAGATCTACCCCTGTTTCAAGATACTGCTAGCTTCCAGCGTTACATGACCATCCGTCTTTCTCTTTTTCAGCGGATGTCTGCCAAAGTTGACTCCTCCCAGAAACAACCTGGTGATGCCTTGGATGAGTATTTTACCAGTCTTGATCAGGTTGACTTTCTGGCAGCACATGAACTTCTACCTTTCGTTTATGAGTCATGTGCTGAGATGGATAGAGAATTTTTACTCGGAATAGTTGAAGATTTAGGTGAAAAGTGCCTCCAGTCATATGAGTTGGAGCGCTGTGAAAATTCACATCTGATTTGTATTCGCATGATGGACAGCGTTGTCAAATCATGGACCAGTGGAATTCAAGACAATCTTAGTGACTCAGCTGCAGACATTTATACCTGGTTCACCGAAGTTTTTCTAAAGAGAGGAAGGGCATCTCCATCAGTGCTGGTTGCATTCGCCCACCTCCTAGGAAACGTCCTGAGTTTGAACCCCACATACCTGAGTGACTCGTCAAGCCCGTCACCTAGAACGACACTCTTCCGGATTATCGGAGAAGGGGGCGTGTTGGTCAAATTCAATGCGGGAAAGCTGATTCCTCAACTGTTCGGCCAATTTCTTCTCAAGGATCATGATGTTATATTTAATGATGTCCTTGATTGTCTCCCGCGAGATCCTGACTGGCAAGAGGGCATTGCTGTTCGATTGTTTCTACTTGCCCAGCTTGCTTCTCAGTGGCACACACTACTTCGAAGGAGCATTTATCATATTTTTGAGACCCCGGCTCAAGTACATCACTCTTTATGGTACGCCGAAAAATGTCTACAGCAGGTTTCGGCCGCGCTGGGGCTGCCGGATGCGAAGGAGATATTTCGACTTTTCTCATCTCAGATAATATATACTTGGACTGAAACGCAGTCGGTTATGTCTATGCCTTTTAGCATATTTGGTTATGCTAGTCTCGAGGACATGCTAAGTGATGCTCAAGACGAGATTGTTGGTCAAATAATGATGCGTGCCAGTGAAACTGATGCTGTGGAACTATCAAAGTTTATGTGTCGGCCATTCGTTGAGCTCCTGGCAGACTCTTTCTACAAGGCAGAGGCATATACTATAGCTAGTGACATAAGTACCCCTCCAGGGCAGGGAAGTCAGCCCAAGGGTGTGGAGAATCGACTAAAGAAGATCCTGGGCTCTGACCAGTTCATGAAGTTGATCGAGGTACAATTCCCGCAAATTATAGCCACATTTTTTGGGGTTCTTGACCTTTATGAGCAGGTTGAGAAAGCGTTCTCCAGACGGGAAAACTTTCGAGGGGCGCTTAATGCCTTCAAACAAATCTCTGGCAAGGACACTGCGAGAACCGTGCTGCCGGCAAACCAACAACCGTCATTCAGAGCACGGTTTCTGCTCGATGAACTCGAGTTCCTATGCAAACGAAGTGGTTATGAACTTGAGACCATCTGGACTCCTACTCTAGCATCATATGTCTGCCGGACACTGCTGGAATCAATCCATCCTGCTCTTGGCTCCCTACATGCTTGCTCTGTGATACGGAAGATCAAGATCTTGGTATGTGTGGCTGGACCTGTCATGCTGAGTGACTACCCGTTTGAAATGATTATCCATGCCCTTCAACCTTTCCTTGTGGATATATTTTGCTCTGAGGATGCGCTGTCAATATTTTGGTATTTGCTGGAGGCTGGGAAGCCATATTTGACTGACAACCCTGGTCTAATGGCTGGGATTGCCGTTTCTACATCACTATCCCTGAAAAGGTTCCTGAAATCGCCTCC